GGCCCAGGCTCTCGTCATCTCACGCCTAGACTACTGTAACTCCCTCCTGGCTGGTCTACCTGCATGTGCCATCCGACCTCTGCAGCTCATCCAGAATGCAGCGGCTAGTCTGGTCTTCAACCTTCCTACATTCTCCCACACCACGCCGCTCCTCCGCTCACTTCACTGGCTTCCAGTAACTGCTAGAATCCACTTCAAGACAATGGTACTTGCGTACCATGCTGTGAATGGATCTGGCCCTTCCTACTTCCAGGACATGGTTAAACCATACACCCCAGCACGTGCACTCCGCTCTGCATCAGCCAAACGGCTCGCTGCACCAGCACTGCGAGGGGGACCCAAGTTCCCATCAGCAAAAACACGTCGGTTTGCTATCCTGGCTCCAAAATGGTGGAATGAGCTCCCCATTGACATCAGGACAGCAGAAAGCCTACACATCTTCCGGCACAGACTAAAAACTAATCTCTTTCGACTCCACTTCGAGCGATAGAATAACTAACTAAGCACTTATATACTAACAAAGCACTTATATACTAACTAAGGACTGGCTTATCTAAAGCCAGTTGAGTAGCACTTGAAATGTTTTGGCTCTATGAAACCTGATGTACTTATATGATTCTGTTTTCTTCTAGTTTGTATCTTCCTGGTCGAATGCACTTATTGTAAGTCGCTTTGGATAAAAGCGTCAGCTAAATGCAATGTAATGTAATGTAATGTTAGCTCTTCCGTTAACTCTCTGATGATTTCACCTCTGCATTAAGGTTCGATGTGCTTCAGAGTAAGTGCCTTACATTTTGGTAAATATTATTTGCCTTCTTTTTAAGGGTTCAATGAGAAAATCAATACCACTCTGTCCAGAGCTTGCACTCTATATCTAACAGAATAAATACATATTATCAGCTTCCCCTGAAACTACAACTTCTTGTTTAAAAAAATAAAATAAATGATGTGCCGATAAAACAAACAAGATATAAGTCCATTTGTGAGACTTATCGAAACAGACATGTTGAGACTAGAATTAATCCTCTCAATTTACTCTGGAGGCGATGTATTTGTCCAAAACTTTGGTTTCTGGTAATTGGCTTGCTACGTGATCGTTTTAAATTACTTAAGAATGTTTGTAAAGAAATAGAAACACTACGTCGTAAAACCAATCGCCAGTCGAAAGTGTTTTTCAAAGCTCAGGATTAGGGCTAGGGTTAGGGTTGAGGTTTGTAGCCGGCTTTGTCGCATTGGCTTTCAGGAGTTTGAATCTTTGTTAAGGGATTTTAGGAATTCGGATTCAATATAATGCTATCAAACCCTGCAGCACCTAAAGAAAGTCATACTCTCCAGAAGGGAGCGGAGTCTTGCTGAATCAAAGGGTTTGTGTAAAACCTTGTCTTAATGCAAAGGAACACGAGCACTCACAACCGCTAAATAATGTTCTCCGTCATTTGTTCACAGCAATAAAACCAAATATACAGTACTGTACCAATAATGTGACATTGATGTATTGGTGTTGAAGAATGTTACAATTTCTCCTGCAGTTGTTTCTGTCTGATGTAACCCCGGAGCACCAAGCTGTTGCTGGAGGCGCAGGGATGTTCCAGTCGCAAACGCAATGCTGCAAAATAATTCCCTACTCTGCTCTGGTCAATAAAGTTGCATTTACCCTGCAGCAATATTGAAAACCACTCTGAAATCAGATTTGTCCACGTACCTCACATGAAACATATCTTCTCATAAAGAGATCTTTTTGTGTTTTACAGTACCTCCGTGGAAAACAGACTTTAAAATCCAATCTCAAGTCGTTATTTTCCCATAAAGCAATGGTATGTTCGAGGTTATGATGACTGAACTCACTATAGGCCTGCATTTATACAAATACATCCAATCAGATTTTTCTACCAAGTCTCAAGTTTGTGATTCTCTCACATTTAGCCTCCAGTGGGCAACATCTTATCGGAGCTGGTTTTCAAATTGCTTCACCTTGTTGAATCAGCCATTGAGGCCTTTAATTGCTTATTCAGTCACTTTAATTAAAGTTCAAAACTGCGACAGCTTCTTTATACCATCCAAGCATATCTCCTGGTGAAGTCCCTTACACAAGAAATACCTGTGGGATGATTGGAGGGTTTTTATTTTCTCTCTTATTTTGAATGAGTTACATTCTGCTCAGTTCTTTTAGCCTTGCACTAGAGTAACCTTACATTGTATTCTACCAATAGTGTTTTATGGCTCCAGGGATTATTCTATACATCCTAGGGTCAAAGTGTACATTTGGTGCGTATATGTGTTTGTGTGTGTGACAAGAATAAAAAGAAAAGAAAATCTAATTTTGAGAATGGGGTCCCAAATCAAATAAGACTTGTAAAATTACCACTATTGTATAAGAACTCTCTCCAGATCTATTTGCCTCTCTGTTTTATTCAAGCCTGTAGGTGTATTTAACTGGCCACTGGCAAGGTAGAGTTTGTTTTCTGTTATTGCCTTTGAGGATTTTGTTTTGTGCTTGTTCACATTCTTGAAACTCTTGAAAGTTGGCCAGGCTTTGATTTATTTTTGTAAAGAAAGAAAAGTAAGCCTACAACCTGGAGTCTCTTGTGTAAAAAACACTCTCTGCTAGACAGGTGGGTTCAATCTTTAACTCGCAGAATGGTGTTTGTTTTCCAGGTGTACTCTTCTCTAACTCGGTCTGTCTCTAATCTGGTAGTATTTCTGATCGTGGGCCAGATAGAAACAACTGTTACCCAGAGCCATTTAGAATAACAAGCAGCTTCAGCAGGCCTGCAGGGCCAAACTACGGCTCCTGGAGCATGAAATACACTTGGCATGCGGAAGGATCGTGAGTCTGACTGGAGAACATATTGGTCCCATACTGTTCGGCTACATACAGCGATGCCAAGGACGAGCCTCAGAGGATTTCATACCTGGGCAAGCACCAAATAAAAACAACTCAAGTACTCTCTTAGCTTCTGCTCAAAATAAGGATGCTGCAGGGGAAGCTGTAAGGCCTTTTCAAGGTTATTTTACACAATGTACAATTTTTAAATAAAAGTAAGGAATCCATGGCATTGTATGCAATGTTCTTTGTTTAAATGTAAGAATTAAAACACTACAAATTGTATGTTTTGTTAATATTTTTCTGTCTTAATATTGAATCGCTAATTGTATTTAAATGTATTTGCTTATACTGTAGTAGCGCTTCATGTAGATTCTAATTTCTAAGAGTTTACATTTTGTACATGCCACTTGATGTAAGCGATTGAGACTGTATGCAAATATTTTCTTTAATTTAGTCCGTTGTGTGGTCCTATGTTATCCTGTGGGGCGACATTCAGTATCATGACGAATTGCAGGAGCCATTATTCCCACCTTTATCACAAAGATATTTTAGCTTTCCTTAGATAATGTTGTTAAAAACCAAACAAGTTTTTCATACCATCCAAAACCATGTTAAGGCATCCAAAATCATTTTCAGACAAATCTGTACACCTGAAGCCAATTTTAATTGGTGTATATGCCCTGGCTAAGAACTTGTAGTTAGGGAATAATGTACAACTTTTTGAGCAGCCAATAGATCTTTCATTTGAGTGTTTTGGGCCTTGGGGTTTACTTGTGATTCCCAAAAAGACAAAAGCATTTATACAGTAGGCTGTATTGATCCACAATTGTTGGGAAAGACTACATTTAGTTCATTTTATAACGAAGAATAAAGAGAACATGACTTATCTCGACTCATTATACCAGATGGAACCCCTGTGCGATATTTGTGAATTGCTAGCAAACACAAAAGGTTATGTAGAGCTATTATTGGTGAGTCTCTTAAATCAAAACATCTGTTATGAGGAAGTCTGATTGAAGAAAGATCTAATTTGGGATGAGATTTGAAATAGGTTACAGCTTAACAAGCATGGCTGAGACGAAGCGATGACCAGATGGTAGTGACGACAATAAAACACTAAATGTGACGACATGCCATATTGTTAACAAAAATTGCATTATAAAAAAAAAAACTTGACCAACATCTCTCACAAACAAAGAGGAGGATAATTATTATAGAGTTTCTTTTCTCTTGAATACAGCAGCTCCGTTTCCTGTGCTTGTCCAAAGAATGTACTACAGCTGCACACAATGAGCACAATCCGGAGGACTATGCGTTACTTTCTTACTAATTGAAACAACAGGGCTTGGGGAAAAAAAGCAAGGTAATATTTTATTTAGACTAGATTGACTGAAATGTTCAACATAAGCTGAGAAGGAAGTCTAAAATATCATGGTTTCTTTGACCAAGATAAGACAAAAATGCTCAGAGTAAACTAAAACCTGACTAAAAACGCAGGAAGAGGTTGACTCAATGTAATTAAAACCACCAAGGACATTTGTCCAAGGGCTAAGACAAAAAACATTGCAGACACTATTTACACTATTGGGCACGGGTGCTTTTTTTGGCTTTGTGTGTCACATTTCAGAACATTTTCTAGTTTAGGTTTTTCTAGGTAGTAACAGGCCAGGCATGTTAGATTTACATAATTATCAAATATTTCATACTTTCAAGCTGATAAACGTATGAGTTTAGCTGGTTGTGGCATCTAGCCTATTCATCATTTAGGGTTTATCAAGTAGGACGTTATTATGTCCCTCTTATTACATTGAGGAAGATAAACTAATATAAACGAACTAACTATAGATGTTGGGGGATAGGTGATAAAGACAGATGACGTAATGCTGCTGTATGTATCTGTTTAACTATGTGTGTTTCAGGTCTGTTTGCAAAGTGGTTTCGCATCTCATTTTCTGTTTTTCCAATAAAGAAGATACATGAAAGGCAGAGAATATGCATGAAACAGCACAGGCAGTTTAAAGATACATTATCAAAAAGGCTGTCGGGCTAACATGCAGTCAGAAATATACAACCACTGGCAGAGCAGAGGGGGAAAGAACTGTGGAAAGTCTATGGACTTGTGAAAGAAGAAATACACAAAGTTTACATCTATTCACACAAGGCTTTGGGATAGCTACATCCAAAGTGACAGCAGCACAAGCGGAGCCAGGAGCATGAGAAGGTTGACACAGCCTCCCAGATGATCAGTGCACGCTCTTAGAGACTCCTGGTTGATCTCCTCCTTGTTGGGGGGGCCGTGTGGGGACACCGAGGCGACTGGGTGGAGGTTGCGTCTGGAGCACATGTCGTACAGGTTTCCGGAGAACTGCATCTTCTTAGATTCCTGGCGGAGAGATTCCCAGACCGCTGCTGCTTCATCTGGACAGCCGGCCATCGCTATGTTGGCACAGTCATGGAAGTCGTCCCATGATCTGAAGAAAATAAAATGAAGAGAAGATAGATTAAGAGACAATAGGCGCGTTCACACCGGAATACTTTTCCCCGTACTTTTCCTGTTTAGTTCCGTTAGTACCCCTTATGTTGCGTTCACACCAAAAAGAGTACTTAGTGCCGGGAACTTTTACCCCCATTTTTAGTGCCTGCTGAGAGATGGTACTTTCCTGGGGAAAAAAAGTGCCAACTTTTAACAGAGAAACATTATAATTTCCAGACAAACAAAGGTACAGAAATTCATGTTTAAACAGCATACAAGAGTCCAAGAATGCCTACAACAATGACTAGAACCATGGGCGTCGCAGTCATTATATGAGGGTGGGACAAGTCCCCCCCACCTTTTAAAATGATTAGTTTAGACCCCCCCACTTTTACTATGCGGAAAGTCCGTGCATCGGTCTATCTACTCGCCACTCTCTGTAAAGCGCTGTGTCAGTGCTTCATTATCAAATCCATTCCACTTGCTTATTGTGAGAATGCCCAAATCAATGAAACGCCGTGCCATGTTTTCACTGCTACTTTGTACCAAGGCAGATTCTCAGAGCCGTACACATGAGCCGTACACATGCTGCATTTTTTGTGTAGCTGTGTCTTTAGTTGTAAAATTATGCGCGCCACAGTTTCCCCGCTGCAAGGCTCCGGCGCTAACAGTTCACGAGCGTGCTCCACTAGCACCCGGATATAAGGCGCTGTTATTAAAGAGGTGGAGGGAGAGTCCTCTCCTGTCAGACTGAGAGGCTGATAACTACAGCTCAGTGAGGTAACGGACTCTCTGAGAGGTGGAGGGAGAGTCCTCTCCTGTCAGACTGAGAGGCTGATAACTACAGCTCAGTGAGGTAAAGGACTCTCTGAGAGGTGGAGGGAGAGTCCTCTCCTGACAGACTGAGAGGCTGATAACTACAGCTCAGTGAGGTAAAGGACTCTGTGAGAGGTGGAGGGAGAGTCCTCTCCTGTCAGACTGAGAGGCTGATAACTACAGCTCAGTGAGGTAAAGGACTCTGTGAGAGGTGGAGGGAGAGTCCTCTCCTGTCAGACTGAGAGGCTGATAACTACAGCTCAGTGAGGTAACGGACTCAGTGTTTAGATAGTTCACTTTAGTCTAAGTAGTGGGTCTCAAACGGTTTGATCACCATTTATGTAAACAAGTATTTCCAAGGCACACCTTTATATGATCATTATAGTTATACAAAACAAGAGAATAACAGGAATGAAATAATTCCAACTCATACTATAGGACAGTAACACAAAAATACAGTTTAAAAGGGGAGTGATTTGTAAAATATGCATAAAGAAAAAGTAAATCTGTTTACAGTTCTGTTTCACATGGGTATTGATGAGAGATGTATCCATAGATTTAGTCCCTCATGTTGCTCTCAAAGTGCAGCAGATTGATGCATTTAACTTCAACATTTAAAAACAAATCTTCCCGGGGGAGCATGCCCCGGACCCCCTAGAGGAGGTGAGGTCCACCACCTGCCCACACCCCCTGTCAAATTGTCCCACCCACATTGAGGATGCTTCCTACGCCCATGACTAGAACAGAAAACCAGGGTTGCGGTCGAATAGTCCAAAAATCAGCTCCTAACGTCTATCCCTATCGTCTATTCCTTGACCTCTGTGTGAAACGCTACGGGGTTAAGGGATAGTGGATAGGTGAATTAAAAAGGACTTAGGAGAAGAGACTGCGGTACTTTAGAGAATCCGACTGCACTTTCACTATCCGACGTATTTATGATGTGCCAGCGGACGTCATAAATGTGCGTCTGCTGCTGTGGGGAAACTATGGAAACTACAGTTCTATTTCGTCCCTACTGACCGCCAGAGGCGGTGCTTTTAGCACTGGATATGTCCATCGTGCGCATGCGCAGTACGAGTACCAATATCAACAAAGTCACCTGTGACCCACGTGACACCGGCTATATCAGCCAGTGTCATCAGAGGATCTGTTCCTTTCATCTTCTCGCTGCGCGAGAGTACCGTGGCTGCATTCTTGCAGCCTACAGCGTTCAGGTTTGAACGTTTGATCTGAGGGATTTCTCTGCATACAGCTGGCCGCGGGGAGCTTCGCGACTGATAGTCGGAGCTACGGGTTGTTAACGCGTCCTCCAGGAGCTGTGGCCGGCGGTGCGCCGTGCAGAGCCTTGACGGACAGGTTCGTGTCAACTTGTGGTGATGGCTGTGTTCCCGCACCCTCTCCCAGCTAAGTTGTCCTGTTTGCTGTCTTGTTATTGTCGGGCTACTTTCTGGTGACGACAGTGTTCTCGCCTCCTCTCCCATAAAGTTGCCCTTATGATGCTCTTTCGAAAGTTCTGCTTGTGGCGTTGTGCCCGAGCTATCTTTAGCATTCGAGTTCGAGTGCTTTCGCTGCGTCTCTCATTTAATTGGTATGGAAAGCCCACAGTGCCATAATTTGCCTGTTTTTTGTTAGGTGCAGAGAGTAAGGTAAGTTCTGGCCAGAGTTACTACTGTAACTACGGTCCTAGGCCATGCAACTACGGCATGGTTACTGCTGTAACCATGGCCTATGGTTCTTGCGGGCTGTTCTATTCCTTAGAAGCTAATTAGCTTCATTCTCAGCGACTGCAGTAGCGATATATTGTTGTATTTACCACTCCTAGTGCTAGTCTCCTAGCACTAGGATGGGTAGATGCGGAGAACAATCTTCACTGTGTGTGCTGTGTGCTCCGCATGTGTGGCCATTCACCGGCCACGGTTACTTTTGCCATAGTTACTACTGTAGCTACGGTTCTAAGCCGTTTAAGTATTGGCCATAGTTACTACTGTAACTACGGGTCTACGCCTTGTAAATACTAGCCGTAGTTACTACTGTAACTACGGTTCTAAGCCGCGTAAGTACTGGCCATAGTTACTACTGTAACTACGGTTCTAAGCCGCGTAAGTACTGGCCATAGTTACTACTGTAACTACGGGTCTACGCCGCGTAAATACTGGCCATAGTTACTACTGTAACTACAGTTCTAAGCCGCGTAAGTACTGGCCATAGTTACTACTGTAACTACGGTTCTAAGCCGCGTAAGTACTGGCCATAGTTACTACTGTAACTACGGTTCTAAGCCGCGTAGGTACTGGCCATGGTTACTACTGTAACTACGGTCCTACGCCGCGTAAATACTGGCCATAGTTACTACTGTAACTACGGGTCTAAGCCGTGTAAGTACTGGCCATAGTTACTACTGTAACTACGGTTCTAAGCCGTGCAAGTACTGTCCATAGTTACTACTGTAACTACGGTTCTAGGCCGTGTAGGCTGGCCATGGTTACTACTGTAACTACAGCTCTGTGCTGTTCTCTTCTTTGGAAGCTAGTTATCTGGTCTTAAACATTGTGTTTTTTGACTTGATTTCGCTTGATTGTTAGCAGCAGCCGCTTGACTAACACCTTGCATGGACCGTTTAGCTTCATTATTTAACTCAGCTGGTGAAGGCAGTGCTCTCGCTCCCGCTCCCGGTAACGTTGCCCTGTAACGTATCACTCTGGCTATTAGCAGCGGCCACTTGGCTAACATCTGGTGTGTTCGGCGTGCTGCTTGATTCTTAGCAGCAGCTGCCTGGCTAAGCTGCCCTGTTAAGCTTCTTCGTTTAATCTAGCCAGGTGTAGGCAGTGCTCTCGCTCCCGCTCCCTCTGCTAGTAACGTGGGTGTAGGTCATTCACATCCCCCTCTGTGTTCGGCGAGTAGGAGCAGTGCTCTACTCTTTCCGTTCAGCAGGTAGCCGGTGAAGGCTGTGTTACCGCACCCGCTCCCGGTTACGCTGCATCTGGCATTTGTCTCTGACTCAACCAGTGAAGGCAGTGTTCTCGCCCCCGCTCCTGGTAGACGTGTACTTGATTCTAGCAGCAGCCGCCCGGCTAAGATGTCCTGTTGAACTTCTTTATTTAATCCAGCTAGGTGAAGGCAGTGCTCTCGCTCCCGCTCCCTCTGCTGGTAGCTCCGTGCTTCGTTTACTCGGCTAGGTGAAGGCAGTGCTCTCGCTCCCCGCTCCCTCTGCTAGTAGCCTTGCACTTTCATTTACTCAGCTAGGTGAAGGCAGTGCTCTCGCTCCCCGCTCCCTCTGCTAGTAACGTGGGTGTAGGACATTACACCCCTCTCGTGTTCGGCGAGTAGGAGCATTGCTCTACTCTTTCCGTTCAGCAGGTAACTGGTGAAGGCTGTGTTCTCGCACCCCGCTCCCGGTTACGCTGCATCTGGCATTCGTCTCAAACTTAACCAGTGAAGGCAGTGCTCTCGCCCCCGCTCCTGGTAGACGCTAAAACTGCCTTGTTCGTTAATCCAGCTAGGTGAAGGCAGTGCTCTCGCTCCCGCTCCCTCTGCTGGTAACGTGGGTGTAGTTACATCCCTCTTTGTATTCGGCGAGTAGGAGCATTGCTCTACTCTTTCGGTTCAGCAGGTAGCTGGTGAAGGCGGTGTTCCCGCACCCGCTCCCGGTTACGCTGCATCTGGCATTCGTCTCGAACTTAACCAGTGAAGGCAGTGTTCTCGCCCCCGCTCCTGGTAGACGCTAGACTGCCTTGTTTATTAATCCAGCTAGGCGAAGGCAGCGCTCTCGCCCTCTGCCGGTAACGTGGGTGTAATTACATCCCTCTTTCTGTTCGGCGAGTAGCAGCACTGCTCTACTCTTTCCGTTAAACAGGTAGCTGGTGCAGGCTGTGTTCCCGCACCCGCTCCCGGCTACGCTGCATCTGGCTACCCACAGAATGGCTCATTCATGTGGGCTGTCCCCTAAGGTGGATCGGTTAGCTGCCATCATGGAGCAGACAAAGCCGCTCCTGTTGGCCCTTCAGCCAGGGGCCGGTGTGGGGGCTACTAGCTTGCCGCCTGGCCCGCCTTCGGTTGCCTCACCTCTGCTTGAGGATGCCATGTCGCTAGCGGCTCCGGCTGAACCGCTTCTTGAAAAGGGGGGGGCGGGGCCCCGCTCACCCCCGAAGAGGCTCCCCACTCCTCTGCTCAGAGCTGTTTGCA